CGGTCATAAAAGGAAACAAAACTGGAGCAGCGGGTAAAACCTATGTCCCTATGAAAATTTGATGATTCAATTACGTGAATCGTACATTGCACAGGTAATACAAATTAATTTCACGTTGCATGCACAGTAGCTTCACAAGTTGTCTAACCGGCGTTAACAGCAATTTACACAAACAATGATGATCCGTCGAGACGAAATTTCAATACATTCACAGTGACATATATACTATGTTTATCATATGTATACATACGGTATTGAATAATAGAAACACAACACCATAACATGTGTATTGAGACACTGTGATAAAGTTTCTTCAAAATTTTAATAACAATTTAATTTACAAAATAATCAAATGTAACTTTCTTTTAAAGAATGTATATCAAGTAATTGAATCGTGAAATCGCACATTGGGGATATTTCTTTGTCTACTTCAATAATAGCTTATTATCCCTATTCTCAGTCCATGGATTTGTAATTCACCGGGATACCTACCTCCGAACCTCTCGGAAATACAATATTAATTAACGCACCCAATTAGTTATACGTCTAGAATAAGAAAAATATTTTAATATACATCGCATGTGCGAAACAATGCAATTAAAAGACTAATAATTTAACGAAAATCATTCTAGTTTTAGAATCCGCGAACAACGGAGAAACTGAATTCAGAAGATGATAAGACACTCTTCACTATCAAAATAAGCCCGTTACATATCACAATACAGTCCGAATCAATTCAGCTGTCGGTGTATCATACGTTGATAAATTGAAATTTCATGAATGCACACGGATGCATTTGATAAACAAAATGTGAGTAATAAAAGGGTTAATTACACCAGATATCCGCCGTGCGATGCATTGATAGATGAGAAGTTATTTCGCTGGCATTTTTAGATATCGAAGTTATGGTTAGTAATTTTATAGAGGGAGGTTTTATTTCTTTTGCCATTTAACACGTAAATAAGTGCCACTATCCATGTCATTCGACCTGTGACTACAGAAAACTACAGACTAAAACCAAATCGCTGATTTCTACCTGTGGACCGTTTATAACCCGGAACAAAGCTCGATGCCAATAAAATAAAATGCCATACCTTTAATCAAGATTTTTCTTTAGCCTAACGTTTTATAAAAATATATAAATGGGGAACATCTGAGCTCCATGGGATTCAATCCCACGATGCATTGTTTATTAGCTACTAAAGCCTGTCTAAAAGGGGAAAGATCGTCTTGTTTACAGAGTAATAATGTAAATGATGAAGAAGACAATATGTCACTAAGTGAAAAATATTAATTTCCACCTTTAGCTTAAGCTGTTCGACATTAAAGTTTTATTTTAAGCGGCGTAGAAAGATTTAATCAAGACTAATATTATAATTGCGAAAGTAACTTTGCCTGTCTGTCTGTCTATCTCCCATTTAAATGAAATTTGGTACACAGATATTCTAGAGCCTGAATAATGCAAAAAAGGTTGTTAGGGGTTGAAAAGGGGGATGAAAGTCTGTATGGAAATTCGTGATTCTAAAGTCAGTATTCCACGCGGACGAAGTCGCGGGCACAGCTAGTAATTAAATAATTCAAAAGAACTTCAGAATAAACAAACATAAAATAAAAGAAACTACTTTAAATTTCTTACTAGAAATTGGCGATCATCCCTAGAACATAAATGTTTTCCTAGATATAAAAATAGGTACGAACTTACTTAAGAATGAGATTTCAACACAGTCGAGCCGATTAAACGTGAAAGGGAAACAAACATGTAAACATGGGTCTTAACGTAACGAATACTGGTACAGTTAACTTCGCTTAATGTCACTAGTGTAATTATGATGATACATTCCACATAAACGTAAGGTGAGGTACATATCGGCTAGAAACTGAAAGGCATTTAACAATATTATACCTTTGTTTGTAATTATTGTACCTTCAAGAACGTGCCTCGAGCACTACGTTCCGCGTTATAAATTGCAATAATAGTTTTAATACCCTTTTACTTAAACCATGTTGCACTGTTGTTGCACCAGTTTGAACGTCGTTGGTCTCGTGGTTAGTGTACTCAATTGTATACCACAAAGTCCACAGTTTGGATAAAATGTTAGTAGGCTTGTTAGTATTTCACAGTATTTAAGAACATTTTTGGAACCAGTTTGAACTAAAGAGATGTCAAACATGACTCGGATCGTTACCAATTTTTTTGTGACCGTCGTATAAGCCCACCAAGCCACTTTGAAACTTGGTAGATCTCAGATCTTGGGCCCCTTTCCCTTATGACAAATCCCAGCAGCAGGAGATGGGAATGTTGCACCTTGATAAGGTGCAACGAAAGTGTTCAAGTTATGAGTGTTTTTTGAACAAAAGAGCTGATGATAGTAGATACGGTTATGTAAACTTTTAAAACAATTTTAAACATTATTTGTGAGTAACTATCATGTAATCCTATTATGAAAATAAACATAAGCTTTTGTTTAGCTCTCTATTCTTCTTCCTTACTTTTAATTAAATTGTAATAACGTACATATATTTGATCAAAATAGAGATTTAATATTACACATTCTTAAGTATTATGTTTTTGTTTAAATAAAACACTTAAACGGTTTAAAACGCGATATATTAGTTAAACTTATTTTTAACTAAGGAAATGTTTTTACGAATTTAACTTCGGCCCGACGTTTCCGGTGCTTTGCAGCGGCCGTGTTCACGGGAAGACACGCGTTTTAAACCGTTAAAGTGTTTTATTTAAACGTGTACTACTCGCGTAAACTATAGACAGTATATAATATTTTTTTGTATTATAATAAAACTATGTGTATTTAGAATGTGAATAGCTTTCTTCTACAAAACCAAAGCCACAAACCACCCGAGCGAACGTAACTACTGTCAAATCAACAATATGGCAATTACAATGTGTACGGTTTTCCTCAAAGACGTGAAGTAGGTAAGAGTGTCTATACGTACATATTTATGCTTTGCGATAAAATCACACTTATGTTATGTAAACAGAAGTCACTAATAAATAAACACGTGATGACCTTATCTGCTTATCGGAAATAGATTTTATTTCATTGTATGACGTAATTCACTAATCATGTACAAAAGATTTAAAATTTTATTTGAAAAGCTGTTATTTACGCATGTGTACTACATTTAAATAAAACACTTTTGACGGCTTAAAACGCGAAAAACATTAATTGAGGTTGTTTTATACTTATTTTAACTACGAGCTGACGTGTCGCATGCTTGATAGCAGCTGTGGTCAGGGAAAAATAGTATCGTCGGAAAAGTAAAAACGGAAACGTGCACTTTTCTCCGTTGTTATAACGACCGAAAACAATTTAAACTGTCCTTTTTCACAGTATATGCGATACAACGTATTCTTCATAAGCGTCCCAAAAAACGAAATCTTCGTAGTTTTAAACTAATTACACTTAGTATTCATATTAACTCTTTGATTAGATGCCGATATCTAAACGTTTTACTTATAGGAAATTTAAATGAATAATCAGTACGTCTATAATATAAATCTTATAATAACGACTCTTTCATTATTCATCAGTTTTAGGTGAGAAAACATTGTGAATCATGAGTGGTTTGTATAAGGATAAGGTCAATGCCGAAACTACATAAACATCAAATGACTTTTTAGTTATTTACTCGTAATAGCCTTTTTGTCGTCTTACATATATAAATTATAGATGGATGACGGAGAGGATCTTTAATTTGATATTAGAAAGAAAAAAAATATATACTTAATTGCCAAGTCAAATTACTTGAAAACGAAATCTCGAGTTAATACTAAGCTTATGTAATTTAACATGTTTGATCCTTTTTTTTTATTACACTGATGGACCCACCATGTTGCTCCACTTTAGCGGGCCGTCTACTATCACGACCATACTACAATACTATTTTTTTTTTTAGGAAAATTTTAAATATCGAATTCACTTTGATCGATCCGGGACTCGAATTTCGGGACATTATGATTTCGTGAACCATAAAGAGAGACAAGAAAATGTAAGTAGTTTAAATCCGTCTAAAATGTTAATTCTCCATCGCAGTCTGCTATGCAAAATCCTAAAATAGCTCAAAATACGAATTCTTGTGTCTGGAATCGTCTTAATGCAGGATTACTCTAACATCTTCATATTGCGATAATAACTTTCAGCGTATAATTAGCATAGTTTTGTGAAGGCTAAAATCTTCTTGTATATTTGAACAAGGTTTATCGGTACAGTAACAAGTAGAGATGTGCCGAGTGTTCTTTGAACCGAAACCGAATATCTGTCAATATTTCGGTTAGAATTAAAAAATTCTAGGTCTACTGCTTACTAGAATTTTTAATTCCAGCCGACAGGAAGACTGACTGGACAGGACTGGATTAGGTTTACAGTAAATATAATAGTGATTGAAATAGACAACCTCTCAGGTGCAAAAAGTTTTAACACTTTTGTATCAGCGTGGCGTAAGAAGACTCTTTATTAAAAAAAAATTACATTACATTCCAAGTGAAAAATTGCAAAAAGAAAATTAATAAAAATAGCGAATAGTTTTTAATTTTCTAAGTATAATAAGTGAAATTATGTTTTTGACTGCACCGGTGAATACGGCGACTACAGCCGAATACCGAAGTTCGGTTTATCTAAATTGTTACACATCACTAACAACACAGGCGCGGTCGCTTTGAAAGGAATGTCTGATAGTTATTAAATGTCAAACTATACGTGGCATTCTCGATCGCTCTGAATTATATGAACCACAATTTTAAGAGTCTGTACTCTAGCGTTGCATAGTTTTGTTTGGGTGAACTAATTAATTAGGTATATTTAATGAGGTCGTGAGTGTGCTATCTATAGTCCGATAGCCTTGCTAAAATCACACAAACGTTTCTTTAGCACCATTCGTGAACCGCACCGCGTATCTGATAACAGCCTGATAAGGATACCTAGCTGACTCACATTCACACATTAGCAGCAGAATTGTGTTAACGTAAAGTAATTGAATATATGAAAATCGACAACGGTTTACATTGTAAGTAAATACCAAATAAAAATCGATTTTAGATTGAATCGACACGGACAGGACTTGAACTGACATCTACAACTGCTCTAACCAATTGAGCTGCCGTGCCCTACATGTCATCGTTTTTTTCATCCTCGTCACAAATGCCAACAATGATTTTTTCATCTAAACTCGATTTTTGACCTATCTAATAGCATCATGTGAAAAATATTATAGTTTCCAAAACTGAATACCAAATAAGATGTAATAATTCCACATTTATAACATGCAGGCTCGATATCGGTCTTAATTTAATATGGATATTAGTGTACACGTAATAACATAATCCAAATGAGTTTGTTTCAGTGTAGTGATGTCCTCTAATTGCAATTTCAGATAGAGCGGAAAATTGCAATGGTGACGTGATACAGCGAGTATGCATTGGTTGAGCTGGTGGCATATACTGATAGCGCTGAATGCGCGAACCCTCATCAACGGACAGACCATCACTCCCACGATCTGTGAGGATGGCGCTTGTCGTTGCGACTCCTTCACAAGGGTCATATGTAGCTGTACTAAGGAATCAGAAGTATGTATTGATAATACCTTAGACTTTAGACTCTTAGTTTCGAAATTTGAAATTAAAAACAAAAACGCTATTGACTTACGCAATGTTATATCCAACATTCCTGCGTATTTTTGGCGTTGGGGGTGGGCGTGGGACAGTAAGAATATCGCAATTCCGTCCGGGCCACAAACCAACATTAGTCCTTCTTTATTAAATCTTATTTTTCATAACCAATCAAAATACTATTAATATCTTTGATACTTTTCATATCACTATTATTGAAAATCCAGCCAATAGCGAAACGTTATACGTAATCGATCGAAAGATGTCAGGTCTATAAATACGATATTGGTTCCAGCCATTTATAGGTTATAGACTTATGTGTCTCTGTATTTCACTTTTGTTGTTTATATTTTTTACTTCATCTTTCTAGCTTTGGTCTTCTTCAAGTTAGCATGTGTGACTTCTAATACTTTGTTGCGTGTCTCATACTTTGGATTCAATGCGTTATCTTATCTCTATATTTATATTTACAGGAGGTGACTCTACGGCCGGACGGCGCGTACAGAATGCCTACGATGGCTACTGGCATCAGAATCGAGGGGTGCGGCAGCGTCACTTTCCTGCCTGACACAGTACGAAATCTCATGCAGTTACGAACAATAGAACTAAGAAACATCGGCCACATAGTGATAAGTGAAAGAGCTTTGAATTGGTCCCCATTTAGCAGAGACAGTGAGATGAATCCAGGCATTAGAATAACTATACAAAATAGTACAGTGAGTGAAATAGCGTCCCACGCCATACAGGGGAGAATTAATGATGTGTTAATTAAGGATAGCCGAATAAACGTTCTTCGGCCTTTCGCGTTTTCTAGTCTCACCGGTGTTAAAAGTGTCGAGCTAACGAATAATGTGTTCGAGACTATAGACATCCAAACATTTAAAAAGTTCACCACCGCCAACTTTATGGTGAGAGGTGGAACCATAAAAACTTTACCGAGTAGATTTTTATCAGACGTAGAAGTTACTAATTTATTTCGCTTAGACGGGGTAAACATAAATCATATGTCTAGTTTGACGTTTCTTGTCACCTCACCAAAGAGAATATTGATAGAAAATAATGTGATACAAACAGTGGAGGGCGATGCATTTCATATGGTTTCGAGGGGCCCAATAACCTTTAGAAATAACAGCGTTTCAAAATTAAATAAAGGAGCTTTCTACGGTTTTAGTGTTCATAGAGAAACATTTTCAGTGATGGGACGCCAGGAGCTATTAGTAGATAACAATACTATAACAAACTTAACGCCATTGTCTCTGATGTACAATCAGACGGCGCTTTCATTACGCGTTGATGGACTAAACTTGAACACGGTGTGTAGTTGTGAACTCGCTGAAGAATGGCGAGAGATGTACAACGAACAAGGCGGAATCATCAACTGCTGGTACGACCTCGAAGGATATTACATTTCCTTACCAACTTTCGTGAGCATCCGCTGCGGTTCTTTCAAGAAAACCTTCTGGATATTTGTCGTAGTGGGAGTCTTGCTTGTCCTAATAACCGCCGGGATTGCAATATTCTTTATTGTAAGAAGAGAGAACGAAAAGAAAAAGAAGTTACAGATAGTTCTACCGGACGGTAAGACGTACAAAGAAACAGAGTTTCACATTATCGTAGAGAGAGCTGAGTTACTAACGACGGATCTATAATGAGGATTGTTTACGAACGTCTGCAACATCCTATCCAGCGGCCACACTAATTAAGAGACTTGGAAGTTCAGATAATCGAAGACAATACAAATACAATCAGTGCAATTAAAATTTAATACGATCAGCGAAGTTTTCGGTCGTTCAGTTAATCGACGCTCTACTATAGTATGTGTCGAAACATTCCGATCGGTTTTTGTTATATAGGTCCAGTGTCGTTCTCAGTCGATAAAATTAGCATATAGAATATGTGCGGGGTTAGTTAAGTTTTCAACAGTATTATTCTGGAAGTGAGGGTATGTTGTTTTTTAAAAGAAAAATAAATTGTAAGACAAAATCAAAGATTTACTCATTTCAATAATGCTCCGCGCTTTTAAATAGAGTGCTTTAATTAAGGATAAAGTGATGTTATAAAAACTATAGCTCTTTATGGATTGCGATTCCATTAACCGTTGATTATAAATATGAAGCTTACTTAATAAATCTTTAATTCAATAAAACCATTATGCCTCTAGTGATAATTTTTCATTTAAAATACATTATGACAGAGAGACTTTCATAATAGGATAATGCACATGCAAAAGCGAAGTTTTAATACACGTAATACACTTTTCAATCCCTTTGATGCAAATATTTTCATGATGTATGAAATGGATTTGTTATGTTTAACTTATGCGCGAAATCATATTATTACAGACGTTTTTAAACTAAACGAACTGATTCATATTAAAAAAACTATAGTGATTAATTTGTATTCATTACTGTAACATAACGCTTACCGCTATTCCTTTTTTTCATCTTTTCTTATAATTTAGAAATATGCGATTTTTGTCTATTAAATATAGCACAGCGACCTTTTATATAAACAATTGCCTTTCTTATACATGTATTTTTCTATAACTCGTTATTTTAATCTATTCTAGTCTCTCTAATAATATAAATATTTAAATGCAAGTATTTTAACAAGAAGTTGCCATTATGAAGACAGCAAAGCACACAAACATAATATCATAAAAGTTAGAAATCATGATACTGGTTGAGCATAGTTATGTTAAGTAGATAATATTGGGTTCAAATCAGAAGGATATATTATAAATAGAAAAAGAAATGTATTCATCGCGGACCCATGGAAGGGTAAAAGGATTTAACATTCCAAAATCTACTGCTGATTGTTTGGGATTATTTACAGCTTAAGAAGTTATATCTTCGATCACTTATCAAAGACTTACCTAAGCAAGGCTTGACCATCTAGCACATTGTGTACAGTAGGGGGCGATGGAAGGTCCAATCCACGGTAGAGAAACATGGCTTCGCTTTCATCGTTTCCATCACCATCTCCACCAGGACTACCACCGCTTCCCGCCAGCATTTGAAGCTCCACAACTGTCACTGTTAGAAATAAGCTTCATTGATACCACCACCATACCATTTTAAGCAATTTAAATTAGCTGACTTATGTGTTAACTGAGGATTGTGTTTTTTTTAAGTAAGGAAGAAAAGTATTTTCGACAAAATTAAAGAATATTAATTGGGGTAAACAGCCCTTAGCACTTAAAAGTTTAATAGATCGTACCAGTTACTACACTTAGAAATATGCATAAACTAGTCGAGGCGTATGGTAACTAAAATTATGAGAATGTCCTTCCAATTACTAGATTTGAAGATAACAGGAAGTCTAATATTCAACATTCGAAAGTAGTACAATTTGAAATGGAATCCGACTCCAATAAGATTACAATGGATCTTGACACCTGCATAGTAAGTTATTCAGCTCACGGCGATAGCGTGGCGAATCATAACGATGAATCGGGAGTAAATATTAGTCCGTTACTCTAATAAGACTGACCTAGAGCTAAAATTTCAAAGAACGCTTTATAACATTTAATAATGCTTTTGGCTCATTGCCAGGGAATATCATAACCCAATGAACTATCCGTATATAACAAAAAATACATTTCAATAGACTTGTAGCGATACGTTTTCGATAATTTATTTTCAAAGTTGTCGTTTAAGTCTGTAATGTATCCAAAACGTCGTAGTTAAATAACTAATATAGAATATAAGAGTTTTAAACCGTTTACTGTGATCCAAAAAGAAATATCCAGCCAAATTTAAAATGGATTGAATTTTTTATGCTCATTGCGTAAGTGCAAAGTGATGTTCAATTGTTAATTGTCTAGTAAACATTGGAAGCTAATTGATGTTAACAAAAACTCCACTAAGTTTTGTTCTTTTCGATCCCATGCGATTGAATAGTTTAGGAATATCTTTAATCACACTCTTCGTGTTTATCGTGAGACCGAAAGACTGTGTCGACCAGCAGGTTTCATGATTCTCTTACCTCTCATCTTCACCACTTAACCATCGTGTGAAGCTCGAGTAATTGACGTTTTTTTGAAATAATTTTAAGAGGATTATTCATCGAACAAAATTTGTTTGTTTCTTGAGTCGTTTTTGCAGCACAAGCAACGAAACCCCTCGAAGAATAATCTTTTTCTTTTACACTTCCCTCTCTTTCTTCGCTGTCGTCGCAGCCTGATTTTTCATAGCGTAAAGCCTTCCTCGATAATTGTCCAAATAACAATTTAAATTTGAACCAATAGTTTATGAGATTAGCACATTCAAACAAACTAAATCTTCAGCTTTATAATATTTGTATAGATGTGTGATGTCTAAAATCGACAATGAAATATTGTCGATTTTAGACTAAAATGTAAGACATTTATATACTCACTATAACTTAATGGTGATATATCAATGTCTGGTGCTAGAAGGCGTGATGCACACGCGGCGCCGGTATACACGAGTTCCATCTCCAAAGAAACTAATCCTTGACGTTGAGACGTGAATGGGGCGTCTTCATAACCCGCGCAAAGGCATCGGAAACCGAAGCGGTTTTCATCAGGCCTAACAAATTTGCTCATTAATAACACATTCCTATTCTCTATAAGACCTTTAACGGGAATTTATTTTTTAGTTTATTCTCTAAAAGACTGCCTTAACTGTCTGTAGTTCACACGAGTAGTTCGCGTTTCATTAAAACACTTTTAACGGTTTTATACGCACAACAGTTAACTTATTTAACAGTCATGGTCGTGGGGCGGTTGCGAGGCACCCAAAACGCCGTGCTTTAGTTGAAATAAATTGTAAATCAGTTAACTAATATATTTCTATTATTATAAGACTGCCTTTAATTAAAAATAATAATAGATAGAAATATCAAGAAAATGTTGAAATAATCATGTGTTATATTATTTACTAAATACATATATAATTTCTATTATATTTGTTATAGTATAGAAAATAATATATGTTGCCTAAATACACCTATTTGGTTCTTTATTGTTATTACTGCGTTATGTTAAAGTAAAACTTACTCATCGTCATTTTTATATTCGTTCAAATAGTCCGAGGCCGTTTCCAGTGAAAATATAACTTCGTTTCCAGGAACTAACAGGCCTTTGTGTGGCCAATCAGCGGACCTAAATATAAAATTGCAAGATAAGTAACGATAATGACTTTTCTAAAATCTCTTTCAGAGAGAGTTAACGTTACTTGGGCTTAGTGTTTATTTCTGGGTTTAAAGACATAGTAAACTAATTGTGATATGTTTAATGTTATAAAGAGTTTACACTAATGTAAGAGGTATTTTCATGACAAATTGTTAATAGGTGTTAAAATATAATTGTTAATTAATAGTTAGGATCATTATTGTTTCCTTTACTTACATGTTAGCGAGTCTAGGCGTCACGCTCACATAGGTACAGTTATATTGCATGCAAGGCGCATCCAAGCAACCCTCGTCTAGTTCTTCAACCTCACCAGTATCTGATGTTAGCTGGATTATCCTCTGTAATAATCAACTTATTAGTAAAAAAACCGTCACCACGCCCTTCTAGATAAGAAATAAAACAGAGCTCTCGTTTAGTGTGTAAATGTCAATCAAAAAATACTATTTCATGCCAAGCCACTCCACACGCTGCGAAAATTTCTGAAACTTAGCTGGAAACCTAAGCTACAATTCAAGCTTAACCCAAGCTTAATCCGCGTTTTGCGATTACGTAACGAGCCAAACTTTACGCGACTTTACGCGGACAAGCGTGTTATTTTCACAAGCTGTTTGATAAAGCTTAGGACCTGCTTGCCATTTTACACGTGCAATTCATGTATACTTAATAATTAGAGTAACTACTGAAAATAATATAATGCATCAAATTTACATAATTATTGAAAATTGTATATGAATAAAATTCTCTTTTTACAGTTTACACGCAAAATATATTAGGCTACTTATTTTTACGTTGTCATGTTACATTTCAGATGTTTTGCATTTGTATTCATGAGAGACTGTGAAACCCTAGGTTAAAATATGTTATCTAATATATGTCGCGTTTAAACCCGTTAATAAGGTTTCAAAGTGCTAATAGCGTAGACTACACACGATACTATATATACAAAATACTATATAAACTTATGGAAAACTCATGCTCTATAAAACTAAATTTCTATAATATTAAAAATCTTATTATAGTCATTGATAATAGACATAATGAGTTGTAAGGTATAAGGGATGATAAATACAATATGTAAAGCAGGTCCCAATGTCAAAGGTGAATCACTCAAAAAATTAAAGGATGGACTCACTTCTAATATCCTCAAAGTCTGTGAAGAGTGAACGATAGTGTATGGGAAATATACCAATGGGTGGTGATGGACGATGCACTACCTGAAATACCTTACGAAATGGTGGATCCGGAACACGATATTCGCTGGAGCAGTGACATCTATGGCGTGGGGATCCGGCTACCGCGTAGATGGTGAGGTTGTCCTCTGGCTGGGCTGTTATACTTCGAGGGTCCATCTCCAGAACAATCCATGATACTTGCGGGGGGAACAGCACCCTGAATAAAATCATGGTATTAATCAACAATTATTCATTTTAAGGTTTCATATAATGTAAAATTCTAGTATTGCGCTGGAAATTAAAGCAGCTTTTGAAAGTTTTATAAAATGACTTAGCATAGCATAGGCATTCGTACTATATTTAACCGCAATAGTAACTTATATTTTATCCAGCTAGAATGTTCTAGTCTAGTAATAAGATCAAAATAAACATGATACAGACAACCAATACATTCATCAACAGTGTCGCTCTAGTGGTAAATGTAACCGACTTCTGTTCGTGAGGTCAAGAGTTCGATTACCAGTCGTGCATAAAAAATCTTAACGAACATTTTGACACGCGCCCTTTGGCGACATCATAGAAGACACAATTTGACAATACATGAATGATAAACAGTTAAACCCACTTGTGGAATGGGTCAAAGAAATGGGAATAAAAAAGTAAAATACATCAATATCCTATTAATAATGAATGTTACCTCATGTTAGAGACAGTTGCCTGTTTATATGGATGTTCGCTTTCAATCCATGTGTAATAATGAGTAGTAGTTGTACTACTGATCTCTTCAACGCTTGGAACTAGTAAGTTCATAGCCGAAACGTGCGGCAGCAACTTGTGTATTATCTCCAAGAGGTGTATAACACTCTGAAAAATATTTATGGTGAAATACACAAGCCCAAGTGAAGACCCGTGGGTGGGAGCCCAACGTGAAGATGCAAAATAATGTAACGTCCTTATATTTAAGTAAATTGTTTTATGTCTATTGTATATCTTATTTTTATATATAAGCTAATATTTAATTTATTTTTCACGTGTTATAGCACATGACGGCATTACATATATAAATTCAAAATCATGTATCAATGTATTGAAAAAATTCGACACAGTATCACGATTGGTTAGAGCAGCAGCACGAAACGCTCTGGATGCCAGTTCGAGTCCCGCCCGTGTTTAAATTTTATTTATACTTAATAGATATTTATTTTAATAATTAACTTCTCTAATTTGCACTCATACTTAATAAGGATTAGAGACAAAATATATTTACAACAAGGACGTAGTATAGAATAACAGAATGTGAAAACTCGTTTCAAAATTGGAACACATCCATTCAATTTTTTTAAGGTAGCAAAAAAACATGTTAATCATATATATGGAAAGAAATATTTTTTAGTAGTACACATTTAAATAAAAACTTAACGTTAAAACATATTTAGTTAAATTTTTGAAAATGTTTTTAACTTCGGCCACTTTCGGATGCTTTGCGCGCGTGGTCACGGGAGTCTCCCCGTAATATATATAATCGATTTATAATTTATATAGTGCCATCATGTGAAAAATATTTAAGTTTTTTGTTAATAATAATATGCCCAAGCTGGCCGAAACCTTAAAGTCTACACGGGAAACGAACTTAAGACCTTGCACTTAGTTAGAATTTTCAGATCTAAAGGATACGCTTCGTCTTGTCTCTTTTTCTTTTATTCTATCTCTATTTATCTCTTATTCTATCCTGCAAATCTCACCTTTGAATCATCCAATCCTTCAAGATTAGCCAGTACATACGGCAGCAGAGTATTGATAACTGGTGACTGCTGCAAAACAAACGTATTACGACGAAGATCCTCCGTAGTTAATTCGTTACGTAGGGAACAGAAGAGTTCAGCACCGCGTTCGATTACCAGTGAGGCCACTTTCAGCGTTATAGCTCTTAGTGCCGCCATCAGTGTATCTGGATTTTCCGAGGAATTCGTTGGTTTGGTGGTTCTGGAAACATTTAAAAAATATTTATTAATGTATACTATTAAAAATTGATGACTTTGAACTCGCTAATCTCAGAAACTACCAGTTCCAATTGAAAGTAATTGGTTGGTTAGAATATTTATCGAGGAAGGCTAAAACTGGCAATAAGAGCAAAGAAGCAGAAGGCAATGTTGAAAAAGCGAGAAACATTTTGTGAGGGTTTTACGTGCGCTGCTATTCTTCTTTAAATATTAAAAAAATTCGCAACAGATTATACCTAACTTTTAAGATTAACTCAATAGAAATGTTTTTGTGCGAATGAAATTTCAAATTGTCTCATATAGCTAGGTGAGCTAACCGACCCGGGATAGAACCCTGCTTGCAGAACTACGAAGCGTTACATTCATATTAAGTAAGGATATATACGTACCCGTAGTAAATTAGGCACGGTATTTGTCCTCTAACCAATGTGGTCCCGTTGAAACTGAGGGAACACGACGAAAACGTGAAAGTAGTTCCATCAGGTCCCTTCACAGACGCAAGACCGCTGTCACCATTGGCAGTTCGACCGCCATTATTGCAGAACCTTAGGGCGTAACGCAAATCTTCCTATAAGAAAACGAATACACAAATCACTTCATTTCACACTGGTATTGGTCACAATTTGGTTCACAAAACATACAGATTAGTATTTATCAGTTATCGCTATAAACGATCTTTTCCATTTAACCAACCCGAGTAGAAAGAAACTTAATTACACTAGACAATGTGCAAGAAGTGCGTATTTACTACTTAATAAACTAGTATAGTATATTTGATTTATTAGATTACTACTGATCTAATGGTAGCAAAATTTGGCTAACCAACGAGTCATACTCACGACTCGTCACCGAGTCCCACTTGTTTCTAACCAAATAAAAACATTGTGAAGATAAATCGCGTTGTAGTGTCAGTCTGTGGCTTTCCGAATATCCAAAGTCAAAAACGACCCATAGCGTATTTTGTTCAGTTGTTATAAGGCTGGGGTAATATATCATCCAGCGAACCCTATGCTTCGGTCCCCTTCTATAATATAAAAACGAGTGTGTAGAAGTGTATATGATTTACCTTTAAAGGAACCGGTTTTTCAAATTTGATCTGTACCATGTCATTTTGGCAATCTGCAGCGGAAAATGAACCGTGGATTACTTCTACGCTTATCCAACAGTGCGATGAACGTGCTTCCTCGCTGACTGTACGAAGCTGCAGAAGATAGTATGTTTTAATTGTAACAGGTAGCTCAATAGTCTTTGGTTTACTTGGTCAACGACCGGTCTTGAGCTTCGCGCTTATCACTTCATTCGCTCCATAGCTAGTACCACCCCTCTTTTTTTTTCAATCTGTGTTTTGACTGCTAAAGTAGGGCACAGAAACATCGTTACCAACGGATTTGGTAAATAACATAAATAAATCAAATTGTACGAATAAAAAAAAATAATCATACAATTTGATTTATAAAAGAAATAACGTTTCGAATGTTTTGCACCCATGAACACAGTGAGAAACAGTTGGGTCATAGTTAATAATTTATTGTAAACTAGCTGAGCCAGCGACTCCGTCCGCGAGAAACGTTATTTCATTCCATCATCCAAATTAGTTTTTGCAAACCACGTCATCCTTATGAACTTAGCTGTTAGCCATGACGTCGATCGCGTCCCTTCCCGTCGATCTTACAAGATAATCTTAAGAGATAGACATAATATAGCGTCGCGGACTTTTTTTAGATCATTTAAAGAGGAATTATTCTGGTATCTTGAAACGTTTTTGTAGCGTACGCCTCACGATAATGATTAATAATTTTCCCAATTTTCGACAGATATCGCGCTGTATCTTCGCTTGTATTTGTCACATGGCGATGTTTTATAGCCTATTGCCTTTCTCGATAAATACTTTAACTAACACAAAATGAAATTTTCAATGGGAACTCGTAGTTCCTGAGTTGACGTTCAAACAAACAAATACCTTAGCTTTATATATTAGTATAGATTAGCAAAAATATTTCGCTTTCTACCCAAAAACATAGCTGTTACGTAAATAAAACACTTTGTCATTAACTAAAACGCGAAAGGTATAGTTAATTGTAACTTATTTACACATTATTTTTATACGGCCCAACGTGTCGGATCCTTCGCAGCAGCCGTGGTCACGGGGAGACTTTCGATTTTAATAATTTTTTAAACATAACTTATAGTAAGCCTTTTAAAAGATTTCCAATTTAGTACTTTTATTTAATATATTTAAAATGTACTTACACGAACATCATGTAATAACTCCAAGGTGTACTCGAAGTTCCCTGGACCTCCATACACGCAAGCTCCAACAAGAACGATGCCAGGCCTATCTATATTGAAGCAGATAGCATCAGGGCTACCGCTGCTGGTATTCCAGGATCGATTGGGATTCACTCGAATAAACCGAGACGGAGTTATTAGGTGCTTTATAGCCGCTGTATCTGTATCTTCCTGTGTAAATATAAATAAAGAAATTGTATTAGTTTCAAAATTTTAATATTATTAATTTTTGATAATCGACGATAACGTATAGTACACGGTACCCCAATAAGTAGTATTAATAGTAATAATCATTTTGGCTTTTGACATTTTAAAGACTTTTAACGAAAGCAAAATAAAAATAAATAGTAATTAATGATGGCAATAATTAATTTAATATCTAATAAATGGTTTGAACATACGACGTTTATTTAACAGGTTAATACGAAAACTCGATTCGTTAATAATTTACGCGTTTAATGCGTACGCGTTTTAAACTGTCAACATTATTTTATTTAATGTATAACGCTGGTGTAGTTATAGCTATTTTCAATTATTTTTTTAAATTTTTCAATTAAATACTGTCTGTAGTATACGCGAGTATTACACACTTAAATAAAACACTTTAACGGTTTAAAACGAGATATATACTACTTAAACTTATTTGAAAATTATTTTAACTATTTAAACTGTTAAATAATTTTTATATAAACATTTATAAATTACATATTGTTTACCTTTATATTCTTGGAACTAAATGCTAGTTCAGCAATAATTCTGACAATGAACTTGCAGCAATAGTCAGCGAGTTTCTCGTTCTGCTGTATCTCGCCATGGTCGTGTGGTTGACCACACTGTCTTGTCATCATCTGTTCCTTGATTGGTAACATCACCATGTCCAATAGTTTAGGTATTATGTCCAAAAGATGCCAGTCTGTATGGTTTGTTTTCAATGCCGAGTTCTGCTGTTGAAAAGATATCAAGTAGTTATTATAAGTGAATCTAGTACTAGTCGTCATCGAGCTGCGGGTTCGATCCCCACCGCCTCTAACAAGTTTCTAAATGATTTTTACTTTTCTGGGAATCTGGATATATATAGAATATCCGAATCCAAAATAGGTCGACAACAACAACACATCTTGTGTAAATGTTATATATATATGGCTGGAGTATTTCACCTTCCATGAAGTGCGCCTCATGCTATCCTGTTCTCTTGTTTCATTAAAAACAAAGGTTTCTCTTCTTACGGTTGACGTAAAACATTTATTTCCGGGCATTGTACTGAAACAACTTACCCGTGCTTCTCGGTTGGCACGCGGCGGAATTGGTGGTGGCTTTGGAGAATGCTGGGAATGAGCTGAACGTGGAACTGTAGCCGACTTACTTGGGACTTCTTTTACAACCTATAACAGTAGAATAGGTATAATAGCGACAATGATCGCGTGTGACAGAAGTAACTCGAGTTTTTAAAATAAGAATAATATTATTAAATATAAATTCAGTGAAACAAAGGCCCTTCACATGCTCCCTTTTGAATTTGTCTTTCATCTTCTTTCATTGTAAAGTGACAAAGCGTAACCGAAGGTTGAAATTTGAAGGTTGAATTGAAGGACATTTTGACCAATCTTGACAAACTTGCAAAGGAAAATAAAAATGTAATATTAAACTAGTTTTTGGCTATCGTTTGTATTTGGCTGAAAAATGATAAGTTGACACAAATATTTCGCGTTTTAAAGCATTATTGATGTTTCATTTAAATGTGTAATAGGGTCTTGTTTTATGGTTATAACGTACTCTATTTTCCAGTTTCCTCATTTCGTTCAGCATAATGCAACTCTGTGTCACAGGAACGATATATTGCAAGACATCACGAAGACTGCGGAAGCTGCACATAGCAGCACAAGTGGATGTCAATTCACGTATCTGTGATGCTGGAACTATTCCATCCTAGAAAAAAAAGAAAACTATTAACTATGATATTTGTTGTTCGATTTGTAGGTATATAGATGTCGTGTGGATAGTTAGTTAATTATTGATCATAAGAATTCCTGTGTTGTTTGTATTTATGTTTATTATAATATTTTGTAGATTGAGATATTTGCTTGTGTTAACATCCTTTTATACATTATTTAGCTGTGAAACGTTTTTTCGTATGCACCTTTATATTATATACTTTATTCTTACTATAAAATTGTATTCAATTGGTGTTTATGTTGTTTCTTTCCTTGATAAATAAATATTTAAGAAACTTTAATTTATGGAACTGAAGCAATAAATTGTATAGTATTGTTTTATTTTAAAAATAAAAAATATTACTATAATCAAATAAAACCTTGATATGTACCAGAAAAAATAAATTGGGCAGTAAAACTTTTCTCAGAAATTTAATTAGAAAATAAATGCATATATCATACTAAAAAAAAGCTTCTTGTCCATAAAAATTCTACTCACCGATACATTATACAGTAAAGAGCACAAGTGATGCCATTTCAAAATGGGCGTCGGGAAGAACGCGTGGAAACACGCCGTTACTGTTTCATGTGCCTCTTTTAGTATAGAATTCGTCATTTCCAACGCGAACTGCACATAGCATATTCTCTGCGACTTATTCCGGCCTGGTTTCCGTGGCAACATAGTGCACGTCGGCGTCTGATCTGCCATTATAGCCTGAATCAAATTTCGAATGTCCGCTATCGTCTCCACGTACGCCATGTACTCTTGAGAATTCCTCTTTCTATTATTTTGAGGGTAGATTTCGTTGATGTACGACTTCACGAGACGTAAGCACGCCCGAATGACGTACACTAGGCGTTTTTGGTGCTTCATTATCGTGAGTTTGTGGTAATTTATCGGTATCTGGCCGTTGGTATCGAGAAGCAATTCTTTGAAGGTGCTCCAGCTCCATTGGAGAAGAGTTATCAATGATTTAAAGCAGGCGACTGTCACTCTTCTTGATATGTTCTTGGATAGTACGGTGATAGGTTCTCCTGGATCCTTACGCCGTTTTGGTACATGATCGTGATTTATTATATTATAGAGGAGACATGGAATTTGTCCTGCATTTACATCAGTGCCATTGTTGGATTTCTTTGATGTTTTGAAGTGAAATCCCACATCGTCGTTGATGACAATCGCTTGACCGGTTGAACCGCAGTCTGATGATGGTCCGTTTATGCAAGCCCAGGCCACATACCACCTTTGTGCCTGTAATCAAATAGGAATAACTTATACGTGTCGGTAGGCTTAAAATTTGTATTTACTAATTCTATACTTTTACTTCGATAACTAGAAAAAATGAACGACTAATTATGACAAGAACTACGTACCACAAGCGGAACAGGTGTCTCGAAGAGTACAGGAAATTTATCTCTCGGTGCACACTCGTACGGAATTTCGCCAGTTTCTGCCAGAACATCACCATCACCTTCTTGATCACCACCTTCAGTTCCAATGTCAATGAGCTTTATTTTGGCAGTGTACTCGCCGCGACCGCCAAACAAACCGTACCCACCTAAAAATCAATGTGTTTTATTACACTAAATCTATGTACATGAATGTGTTACTGAATTTCCTACACGAAATGGCAAATAGGCATTAACTAAAGCTAACGAAAATAGGAACTAAAAAAATCTCAACACACCGATTTGGAAAATAAATCTTGTTAGATGATAGAAAAACAACTACAGAAGAAAGATAAGTATACGTTTGAATATCGCAACTAACAAGCCACTAAAACAATTATATCTACGTACTTACCAAGTAGTATATCAGTGTCGCTCATAAAACGAATAGCCTCAACTGAATGACCAGAATATCCCCAACCACCACCGTGACTCTCGAATCTATTCACAGTCAAGTAGTCTTCGCGCAACGGAGATATTGGTAACGATAAGCTATCCCTCTTGCATTCAACTTGGGACAGTCTGAAAGTAAAACTGGGTCGTTAAAAAATTAATATTGTGAAACAAATAATACTGGTTGTGGTAGTTTTGTTTTGCACGCTCACCTGTTATCATGGACATACAGTAGAGAATCTAAGCATCCCAGTAAATGCAGTGCAGCATGAATCCTTGTCACTGAGCAGTTCTTAGCACTGGGCAAAGCCAAATCTTGGTTCAAAATAGATATATTGGCAATCGCGACGCCGTCAGCTGGCCTATCATCGCTGTTGCTGATCCACTCGAAATTCTCCAAATTTCTAAACTCCTCCAACCTCCTCATAATTCCATAATGCGGGTACTCGAACTCAATATCATTTATGAAGCCTTCTGGATCATTTTTACAACATCTCTGCAGTTTGTGGGCGTCGAACGCCTGGATGTTGTAGGACTTCATGACTCTCATCTGCGGTTGATAGCACCATAACACGTCGTACAGGGGATCGAGGCAAGCTAGGGTATTCACGAAGTCTACCTGTTCGGGACCGGACCAGGCATAGCATGAACCATCGCTTTTGCAAATCGTCACGCATTTGAATGTGTGTTCCGGTCGGTTCGGTAGGATAACTGTAAAATGAACCAGCAAAATGACTTAATAATATCATAATTTTTCACAAGTGTTATGAATCAAATAACAGTGTCGTTTAGTTAGAAAGTTTAATAATACACCGTTCGTGTAGTATACAACAAAAAACTTACTTATTGTATTATTATTCGCTGTGATGGTAGCACTAAAGAGAGTATCCGTCTTCAGTACGGCTTGAGAAACCTAAGTATGAAAAAATAAGTTACAGTTACAGTAGTGAAAATCTATTTAGATTAGAAAAAATACGAAACGATTTTGTTAAACAAAACAAAGATATTTTGTCCGTCGTCCATTTTTCAACGGAAATATTAAATTTAAAAATAAACATTTAACATTTTGTCTTAAACTGGTAAGAGTTTAAGATGTTGATTTTTGACAATAATGTAAACTATAAAGTCTAAAAAATATTTCAGAAAAAGAGATATACACACGTTAAAAGGTATATATATATATATATATATATATTAATTTTATTTCTAATGTTCCAATAGGTAACTAGTAAAAGTAACTTATACATAACATGTTTAATACCTGTACAAATGTTTGATCACCCGACGCAGAAACAGACACTGCTTTACAGTTATACTTGGGTCCTAAACGAGGTACTCGTCCAGGTGTAGCGTACCAAATGGGACACCTATCAGCTCTTGGTTCATCAATGCGTGGTCGGCCTAATGCACCTTTCTGTAAAAAAAATATATTTGCTACAAAACCTTTGTAGATAAAAATACAAATTTGCTAAATATTTTAACATTTACTGATTGTCATCAAAACCATATTGTATCGGTGTGATGTGTATATTTTATTTATATTTTTGCAATAAAACATTTAAAAAATGGAGATTACGTTGTTTTTAATAAATTTATATTTTTTCTGAAAAATGGTCTACTTCTGGAATGCGGAATAAGTGGTAATATTAATAAAATTTCGTCTGGGTCCCAATCCACCGTCAACAGAGTATTGATGGTTCCATTTATTAGGTATTTAACCTTCTATCAAGTTAACCCCAGCTTGTCTATCTATCATAAAAAATAGTACCACAACACATCCTCACTTGGTAATTTCCGAAAGTATACAATTCCCCGTCGCGGGTCAGCACCGCTGTATGATTACTTCCTGCTGCAATAGCTGATGCTCTAGGCACCCTGACGCGTATAATTCTGTGATGAGCTGATATATCACCAGCTCCTAAGGCACCAAACTGGTTGGAACCGAAGGTTAGGACGTCACCTGAAGAGATCAAATTAATAATAGTTATATGTAATAACATAACTTAATGTTTTAAGTAATAATATATATCATAATCTTTTCTACGCCATATAAGAATTAATGTACAGACAAACAAACACAAACATTAGTACACATTTCAAACGTGATTAATAGTTGGTATTTGTAAATTAGTTTTACAAATACCAACTACGACGAAACAGATGGCGCTAGCGTATTAAAGTTTAACTTTGACATTAGGGACACCCTCCAACTTAAGTCTCCCCGTGACCGCGGCTGCTGCAAAACATCCGCAACGTCAAGCCGTATTTGAAATAATTGCCAAATAAGTTTAACTTATATATATCAGTTTTAAACCTTTAAAGTGTTTTTCTGTGGAAACTTACTAATTATATCTGGATTGAATATTTGTATAAAACATCCTTACCCATGTGAGTCATCAAAACAGTGTGATGCAGGCCACAAGCTATAGCTTCTATCTTATGTCCACCAGGAAGAGGTATTCGTGCTGGGGGCAAGCTGCTGCCTTTGAAACTAGCGTCTTTTTCCCCTTCATCCTTTGAACAATGAGCCTCATACTGCAGATACTTAATTTCCTCTTCAACAGCTTGATCTGATGCTGTAAAAATAAAATCCATATTAAACTAAGCATTGTTTATAGGTTAGTAAGACTTTAAGCTATTCCATTGCAGAGCACAGACCTCTTTTCTCATAGAGATTTTAATAGGCGGAAAGAAGGAGCGATATAAGTTATACTTATGAAACAAATGCGGAAAAATAATGGTCTTATTTCCTTATCATTACGATTACATTAAAAGCTGCACGGCTTACAAATATAAATATTGAAAATGAAATCACAAACATGGATAAGAAAATAAAATAAGAATACCCCATTGTTAACGACCCGTTATAAATTAGTTTGGTTTAAAAATCTACGTGCATGTTACCAATATTCTATATCTACATTATCTGTAAAATTTATTTCAGAAGTTAGTGTTTATAATCTGTGCAAAATGCTGCTTCGTTTGACGCACTGATTACGTGACCTAAGCTAATGACGTCACTGATGGTATCGGGTGCATTTTTAATCACGTGATCAAGCAATAATTTAATTTTTATATTTTAATTACACAGTTTAAATAATTTAATGGTAGCGTAAATTAAAATGACAATGCTATATTAGAAATGGCATATTTCAAGTCAGAGTTACATCTAAATGAATATGAATTATTAGCATCAGCCATAAAACTTACTGCTAGCGATATCATATACGGATATGTCATCCTCACTGTCAGGAATCTTATCGCGGGCAGCAGTAGCAGCTACCTCAGCACATCTGCGGCAAATGCCGCAGGTACTGCACCCGCTTTCGCCTTCACCACAACCGCACTTCCTAAAACCCAGGATTATAATATTTATATTATCATATTATATTTATACTGCTTTTAACAACTACTCGTCGAGTTTTTAAAATTAGACATATTGCCATTGTTTCTGAATTTAAAGCTTCTTTTCTTTCGTTATACATTTTTGATATTCCAATCTTCGCTTTTATTAAGCATTTCTCAAATGGACCAACCAACACCAAAAAAAAAAATTCGAACCAATAGTGCATAAGATTAGTGCGTTCAAATAAGCACACTCTTCAGTTTTATAATATTAGTATAGATTATCTTATATTTATATTATGAAATTATAAGTATATTTAAAACCAAAATAACATTTCACCCGAAACACTTTAAACGGTTTAAAAAGCGATATATTAGTTGAACTTATTTGAAAATGATTTTTAACTTCGGCCCGACGTTTCGGATGCTTTGCAGCAGCCGTAGTCACGGGGAGACTGTGTTTTATTTAAATGTGTTTACGCAGTATCTCGCGTAAACTACAGACAGTATTTTATTTCACCCGAATTTCCACCCAAGAACTCGGAAACTGCAGTTGAGTGCTCTCACAATAAACCAATGAGGCCGTTGTACTATACTTTATAACTAGTGATTATACATAGCCCCGTAACTTATTTCTTCTGCCTTTATAGTTGTACTTACTCGCCAGGTATTCGATTAGGCAGAGCTGCACAGTTGCAATTGCCAGCGAAGCCTGTGCATTCACGACAGTTGATGCAAATACGACAGTAGTTAGTTAACCATGTATGTTGCTCGCTACATATAGCCGGCTCTTCTTTGGCGGACGATTTCCTTTGAGGGTATGGTTCTGGAAGACACAAAATTTTGACGTTAGTGTTATGTTTACATGCTGTTATTTATTTATTATTGAGTACGTTTTAAAACTTTAATCCGGACATCCGATTGCTGCTATTGGCAAATTTATTTATTTAGTTAATACAAGTTTTAATCTTTATACTTACTTTCTTTTGTATATCCAAATTCTCGTCCACATTGGCCCTTATTATTGATACCAAAGCTATACACCTGTCCCAAGTTCGTCAACGCTACTGCATGTGCTTTTCCCAATGCAACCTGTTGACAGAGATATAGACTTCATAGCGACCAATTTATCAATAGAAAATAATATTATCATACTATTTTCTATTTGTGACACTGACTGCTGGTCCAATCCACATAAATTGGTGGAGAATTACGGAGGATGTTAAGTAAACAAAGACATTTGATGTAAAGATATTTAAAATTAAAAAACGAATTTAGAGTGTAAAATCAAAATCTACATTCATAAGAATATCTTCAAAACCATTTGGTTGTATTTGCTTTGTTAAAATTAATTACAAATCTATTTTTAGATTTTAAAAAATACGACGCGGGCGGCATTTTAACGGGCACCTATTGCGTTCCGCGTCTCTAACCATTTGAGCAACCGCGTCTTATACGACATGGTCGATTTTTTCCCTCCCTTCCATACATGCGTGTTCGCTGCGGAAGCCGAATCAAGACCCATACGTATCGTAAATTTTATTCGGTCTAAAATCGATTTTTAAATATAACATCTGTTTAAGAAATTATTGAGTATATTTTTTAACTTGTATATATTACATGTCTAGTATTTTTTAGTTGCTTTACTCGACAAGTACTTGACCGAGAAATTTAACAGATACATTAAGGTAGTATAAATAAGGTCTAATAGCAGCCAACAATACCTGAACAATTCTTTCGTGTTTAAGGCCAGTTACAATTCCAGCTGAATCACAATGCTGTGTGTCTTTTCCGAACATTAACACGACTCCCTGACGTGTAACTAACGCTGTTGAACCGTAGTTACAAGCGGCGTAAACTATGTAAAAATTTTCAGCCTGCAACAAGTATTTGTCTATAAGCTAATGACATCAATGGTTTCAACATTCTTCTTTAATACATATTTTTAGGTATCTTGACCTTTGTCAGCAGACCAACATAAAAATAATTCTTTAATTTGAACCAGTAGTTTTTGAGATTAGCTCGTTCAAACAAACAAACAAACTTTTCAGCTCTATAATGTTAATATAGATTTCGAGTGTTGAAAAGTTAAAACAATTAATACAAGTCGATGCCATATTTAAACTGCTTGTTAAATGAGAGTTTTATAGCAAATAGCACCTTTGCTATCTTCTTTGGACGGCTGGGTTTTGGCGAACGTCTCTTGTTTCCGTCTCCATCTTCACCACGTCTGGCAATTCCCGTAAAAAGAGCTGAACCATTGTCTAGAACTAATATAGCGTGTACTCCTTCGTGGCCCACAGCAACCTGAAACAGACCAGAATATTCATGTAATTTAATTATTACTATTTTTTAAACAGATGTTATTGCAATATTGGACATTTTTTACATAAAATTGATGATAAAATTTTACCTGTATCACTCTAGTCTTTCTAACTTTCGGTTGATCATTTCTCACGAAAACCGTTTCCTTCATTAGGGTCCATCGGCCAGTGTATGTTGATGAAACTTTGTATCCTAGACTTGTCGCCTTCCCTGTATAATATACCTAGAAGCATAGAGAAAAACTCGTGATAAGATGAACATTTAGCTTAGGAATACTAGAGTGTGGGTCTGTAACAAATCTTTCAGGAAACAAGTCTATCTCTCTCCTTTTGTTGTTCTGTATTTTTGTGCGAGACAAAGATAGGTGATGCTTTAGTTACTAAAAAACTTAAGGCTTTGAAAACTTTAATATTTTTCACATGTTATTGCACATTTGACATTATATAAAGTATAAATCGATACGACACGGACAGGACTTGAATCAGTACAGTACTGATTGTCAATCAAGCCAAGCCAATTGAGCTACCGTGTCCTACACGCCATCGTCGATTTTTTTTCAAACTATTGATACAGGCACCTTATAATAATAATAATGGTAATATGAACCTATATTTTAAAAAATCTAAAATCGTTATCATCAATCAGTAATAATTGTTTGATGATAACGATTTTAGATTTTTTAATGTTTTAAAAATTGCATTAAAAATTCTTACTTTTCCAGAAGCGGTAGTCAAAAGACCAAAATCTTGGCCAGCACTGATTGCTATTAGAGGATCATCTTCATTGTCATCCAGTTGTATAGCCACTGGTGCATCCAAGTCGGTAATTCGTCTCGACACACCGTCTTCATACGGCGCTCGACCAAGGATTAAGGATGTTCTCCTAAGTAGATGAACGTTAAATTCCTTACACGATTCGACTGTACGAGTGCTGCCGTTGCTGTTGCTGTCTGATTCCAAGTCGTAGAATTTAATAGTCAGGTTGTCCTGTAATTCGAATATTATATTATACTGTAAGCTCTTACACACACAGTGTAAGAGCTTACAGTCGACCTAGAATACGCGACAAAAAACGTAAGCAACCCGATGTTTACTACGTATTTTTTGTTAGTTAGCATCGCAGTTTAGGAAGATTGACATTGGAATGACTATAGGGCATACCCTTGTATTGATTCAAATGAAAAACGCATTCCAAAACTGCGTAAATAAAAGTAGTCAGTGGTTTTGAAACCCAACATTTGGAAAGTCTTACATCTACTATAGGAGGAGAGTTTTCGATTTTTTTTTCGAACTTCTAAAGTTGCGTTCATTCAATGTAAATTTTCCAAAGCAGCAATTCATGGCAAATAAAAGTAATCCAATATTACCAACATTTGGTAAGTCATTATCTACTACAGGATGAGACTTTTAGACATTAAGTTGTTTTTTTAGAACTACTAGAGGTGCGTTCATTCTTTATCTCTTCTCATTGGTCTTTCCATACTTACAAAGTTCGTCAGCAGAATTAAACCCAGTTTATTTGAATCACTGAACACGGCTGATTTAGGCTCAATGGCAATAGGAGTGCCTGGCTCCAGATGTATTATAGTTTTAACTTCCAATGTATCTTTATCTACTTCGTAAATGTCAGTCTTCTTTCTACCAATCCTTACATATAACTTATCCTGAAATATAAATTACGTTAACTTGCTTCTAAGAAAATAAATAATTATTATTAATTAAAAAGAAATTGAAATTCAGTCCTGTGTCAGATTACCCATCTGCGACCTACTAAACCAAAACAATTTATCGTGTTTTCTGAGATTCAAACCCATCTCTCGCTTAAAGCAATTGCCAACTGAACATTTTAGACGATTGTTTTTTTTTTTGCTTTTACCTTACAAAATCCTAGCCAGCCGTGTCGATCCGACGCAAAAAAATCAGGTTTATAGAGATAGACGTGTTGACGAATGGAGTTTCCATAACCAGAGCCAATTTTTAGGAGTCCCTTTGATGTGAACACGTATAAGAAACAGCCATCAGATACTAGGGAACGTATAACTAGTTCTTGTGAGCCCGTAGTTAGCTGAGGTGGCAAATCAACTGGGAAGCTATTGACGAGGCATTGATGTGGTACTCCGTAGTCGAGCCACAAATTGCGAGATGGTGATCCTAAGATGACCGACTGCACACTCCTTTGAAGCATTGTTAGATTAATCGGTACCTAAAAAGAATATAAATTAAAAACAAATGAATAACAAAATATTTTTAGTTGGCAAGAAAGTAATTGCTCAAAGGAATCCCATCTCATAGGTATAAGGTTTTCTAGACCCACACAGTGATAATAACTGGGACAGAGGACTTCACGTTTTCTCAAAGCCACGGGGATGATCACATCTACGTTTGAACTCTAGGCCGTTGAGAATGTTTCCTTAAAACAAACTAGAACAACAATACTGAGCCGATATTTCTGATACGAGATCTTGTGATCTGTAGAAAAGTCGAAGTACTCACTAGCTCTAGACCAACGAGGCAATTTCAAAATTTGGTTAACGTTATTTTAAAAGATATATTTTAAAACTCACACTAAGTGACAGTCACATATTAATATTATATAAATGAAATGAAACTTGACAATAATTAATTGAATATAATACACCAAAATCAAGTACCTACTGTCTGTAGTCTACGCGAGTAGAATACATTTTAATAACTTTGTCGTTTTATAACGCAAAATATATTTGTTCGAATGCTTTAAAGCAGCCGTGAAAGCAGAAATGTCTAAAATGTGATATATTAGTTAAACTTATTTGAAAATGATTATTAACTTCGGCCCGACATCTCCCCGTGACCACGATTGCTCCAAAGCATTTGAAACGTCAGGCCGAAGTTAAAAATAAATTTTACTAATATATCGCGTTTTAAACCGTTGAAGTGTTTTATTTAAATATTTTGCGTTTTAAACCGTTAATGGTTTTGTTTAAGTGTTTTATTTAAACACGAAAAATATTATCACAGGCGACGATTAAAAGTAAATTACTTTCTTGCCAATGCGAATTCTTATGAAACCAATACCTGAATGTATTGCTCAGATAAATTCGGTGGAACCATAATCAATGATTTCACAGTATTTAATATCAACTCAGCCTCTCCCTTTGCAACAGACAATGCGATGAGACAGGAACTACTGATGGACGTGAGTGTTGTCGGCATTTCCGGTCGGCCTGGCGCTCCGACGCCGCTAGTTATGTCCACCAGGATGTCATGAAGGTTGGATATTATCTGTTAATATACATAGATAATCAATCACTTCTTCAATAGATTACTTATGAAATGAAACGTTAATACTCGTAACTTCTTAACTTATTTTTAACAAAGTTTAACGTTTTGAATGCTAAATCAACAGCCAAGGTTACGTGTTTTAACTATAGACATTCTACCAGTTCCTTAAAAAATGACTGGGCTACTAAAGTTATCTTAGAAGTTGTAGCAATTTTATCTAGATAAAAAAAGTGTGAGATATTAACTTTAAACCTCAGAGTACCGTTCTGATGCTCCAACAAGTGGGAATAGTAGATTAACTGATAGAGGAACAGCATTCTACCTTCCGGTGATGGGTTTGAGTCCCATCCTTTTAATAATATTTTAATGATAATTTCAAAATTCATGGAAGATTGGGAATGAGTAAACTCGTGTTTGTTCTTATATTTATTACCTCTGTATTTTCGTGCGAAAGATCTTCAGGAGCATGGGCTTGCAGCACATCAAGTAATGCTCTAAGGGCGCACTCACACAGGCTAGTATCTTTATACCTTGCTTGGTCAATGAGACTAAAAACTGTGCGAAGACCAATTCCAGTTATCTAAAATAACATTTTCGATTTTAATATTAGTAAAATCTTATTAATTAGTTAAATAAAACCATAATAGCAGTTATGCTTAAATATGGAATTAATAATTTCAGGAATTATGTTAAAGAAATCTGTAGAAAACGTCCACCAAAACTCAGTACCATGCATATCAATCCTACTCACACAGTCACACCTGATATGAGGTCACATATGTATGTAGGAATTTTTGCAAGCACTTAAATAAAATAATAAAATATAGACAAATCTTTAATTTCGTCTTGGCTCTTTGCGTCCTACGACTTAATCCGCCATCTTTGATCTCACTCTCCCCGTCCCTTTCACACATATCCTCTCGCTCATTCTTACATTTCATTCTACATGTATATTGTGTTCCAGTACCGGAAAGGTGAAAAATAGAAAGTTACAGAGATCAAAACATAACATAAGTAGTATTTACTTTAGGTAGTTTGACGTTTGAAGCTTGAGTCTGATCATCATTGTCACTCTCATCTGATAAATCAGCCACAGATCCTTGCAGGTGTCTCCAACGGGAGAGAATGGACTTTCGGACGGTAGCATAGACAGCAAATTGCGACGGATTTCCGAGAAGAGCTGGTGCGAAACATATGGCAAATGCATTGGGGCCTTTTGAACGACGAGATCTATCTTTCCTGACACCTCTTCTACCTGATCGTCTATCAATTTTTCTGAAAAACACAAATAGACTAATCTATTAAGTGTAACACTGTATGTTCTATCCAATAAGAAAGATTGAAATATAATATTTTACAGTCAAAGTAAATAAAAAAATGACTAAAAGCTGATAAATCATTTGGTTTTTTAGTTTAAGTATTTATAAGGAATAACAAAGCCTTTTTTTAAGTCTAACTAAATTTTAAGTGCAAAAACATAATTATTTATTAGTGGTATTGACATTATATTGTTATTTTATTAATAGTAATCATAAATATACATTCTGTAGATTTAGGACTTAAATAATTACAATAACCAATCATACAAAGTCTCAAAGCGAACCCCCAACGAATTATGCTGTGCTGAATGTTTTTTTTTTTTAATTCTACCAGCGACCCCCCACAAAATGGGGGGGGGGTGTGTCTTTTTTTTATGAAGGGGGGCCTCCCCCCCCCGGGACCCCCCCCCCCTTTTTTTCCCCCCGGGCCTTTTTTCCCCCCCCCCCCCCCGGGGGGGGGTTTTTTTTCCTCATATATGGTGGTGGGTGCTTCTTTCTTAAGGTACAGCAGCAGATATTAAAACTGTGTGATTAAACACAGTCGAAGAAATTTCTTGGTTTAAAATTTAAAATTCTCTCGGGGGGGCCCCCCCCCCCCCCCCCCCCCCCCCCCCACCCTTATTAAAATTTTTTTTTTTTTGCCCCCCCCAATTTTTTTTTTTTTAATTTTTTTTCTTCCCTTTTTTTTTTCCCCCCCCCCCCCCCCCGCCGGGGGGCCCCCCCCCCCCCGAGAGGGTTTTCCCCCGGCCGGCGGGGGGGGGGCGCCCCCCCGGGGGGGGGGGGGGCCCCCCCCCCGGCCCCCCCCCCCCCCCGCCCCCCCCCCCCCCCCCCCCCCCCCGGCCTTCTTTTTTTCCCTCCTCCCCCTTTTTCCCCCCCCCCCCCCCCGGGCCCCCGCCCCCCCCCCCCCCCCCCCCCCCCCCCCCCCCGCCCCCCCCCGCCCCCCGCGGGGCCCGGGGGGGCGCCCCCCCCCACAAAAAACCCGGAACCCCCCCCCCCCCCCCCCCCCCCCCCCCCCCCCCCCCCCCCCCCCCCCCCCCCCCCCTCCTCTTTTCCCCCAAAAAAAAAGTTAAATACATTTTCCAAGGCATGGTGTATAATATGACATGGAATATATTTTTGTCCTATTCGACACTCTGTGCTTTTCACTGATCGGTTCTTTTACAGGCAAGTAGTTGATCAAACTTCAGTGCCCTGTTCGATGAAAGCAATCTATTGTTGCCCTCATATTTGAATCTAGGACTTTTTTCTTTAATATTAATTAACAGGACACAATAATAAATACCACCGTAACATATCATAAGGTATGGAAAGTAAAAAATATAGTATAGACATTTCTTCTTGGCTATAGAGGCGCATAATTTAGAGCAGTATGTAAAATACTTCGATAAATAATGCTTTAAACCAATCATCATATTTAAATACCTATTTCCACTCCAGCATAAAGAACGGAAGTACTTCCGGTAGTTCTCTGGTTCCATGCATTTTATCTCAGCCATTTGATTTCTTAAAGCCATAGTGGTTTGCTTATATGAGACTGTAAAAGAAGAATATTGCAAATATCAATACACTACTTATAAGGTAACATTTAATTTAAATATTATAATAATGATATATTAGTAATAAACGATTGCTTATGCACAAGAGGTTCGCTTAGCTAGGGATCAAGAATATTGTTGTTTGTAAAATTACTTATAATATAAAGATTAACAATATTTTACTACTTTAGATTTTAAAATAAACATATTCATAATCAAATAAAATATATATTTATAGAGAACAAAGAGCATTGCCTGTTATAATAAATAATATACAAAAAGTAAATTTCGCATTTTCGCGAGCATACTTATAACTTATTTTATAAGACATTTAAAAATGGAATATGTACTTGAAAGCATTTTAATCTTAACAAATAAACCTATTGGAAATTAATTACAAATAACAGTTTAAATGTCAAATTAAAATTACATCACCTGTAGTTTTACGGTATGGACATTTTTCAATTATTTTTACATTCACTGTTATGTTGAAAACAAATACACTTTAACCAGCCAGTAAGTACAATGAGCTCCCCGACTGGGCACTAATTTTCAAAAATCAATATACAGCTTTAGTAAGCTTTTGCTGACTAGGGACGTAACTAAAACTTATAATGAAAATCGGTAAATTTTATTGTTGTCGTTAAAGATTTTAACCGTAACACTTAATTTTCATTGCTTAACTCTATATTTATCTAATTCGTTATTTCGATTGATTTAAACACATAATAATATTTATTATCGTTTCTATTTGAAAAAAAAAGCGTGAAACCTAACTTAACTTATCAATATATCTTACATAAATTAATACTTTATATTTGTACGTATACAGATTGTCAGAAAATCAAATACTTAATATTAAGCTTTTTACGGGAATTAGTCTTATAGATGATGTTTATTTGTATGATCAGGGACGGTCATTAGTATGCGACGCCAACTACAGCGAAACGAAGTTAGCGCGATTCGGCAGTCTAACTGACTTCAGTGCGGTGTCGAGGAGTAGAGGGTGGCAAACTTACCATGTCACTTCAAACACCAATATTCTGAGCGGATAGCAATTATTTAAACTATACCTACTTCATTTCGTTTCGTTCAAAGAAATCATCTTGCTACGAAATGTACCTACTTATCGTCGGTGGGAATAAATTCTAGGGATCATTAAAAATACCCCCCTTACTCCCTTGGTACTATTAGTATTTTGTTTATATAGTAGTATTTATTAACTATATCCCAAACCAACATACATTGACAAGGAAAACTGGGTAAATCAGAAGTAAAACATACATTTCCAGTTAAGTTTAACCTTACCCAATTTAATGCCCTTGTGACCTCTGCTTTTGCAATGCTATGAATCGTTGTAGTTAAACATGTAACTAATTATACACTTCGTGATTTAAACCGTAAAAAGTATTTTAATTATTTAAAATAGTTAATTTATACTTGTAAAGTTTTTAATGTTGCCCCTTCATGAATAAAAATATTGTAGTTTTTTATAGTAATTATGAAACGAGTTCAAAATGATGTCAAATTTAATTAAAATGCTTTTCAAAGAAATGGCCCTTATATTCTTACATTACTAAAATAGACAAAAATAAATGTATTATCACGTATGAATTGAGTAAAAGCAACGACAAAAACAAGTGCTTGTGTGTATACGATAATCGATATTTTAAACAATTATTGTCCTTTTGTTGTTTAACAGACGCAAATGATTAAATTCATTCACGTAATTTGTATCCACAATAAGGCATTTCCTCTAAAGAATTAAGTCTGCAGCAAACACAAAAACCGTTAAAGTACCGGTTATTCCAACTACTAAGTTGACTCAGCTTTAGTGAAATAGAAGAGTAGTACATCAATGATGTACAGTAGTCAGTGTGTCATTATGATCAGCTTGTGTGTTTTTATTAAGTTTTAGGGCACAAATGAATATATTTTTTTTACAAATGTTATAATTATTTCGATAACAGTGACAATAATGCGTGCCGAACCTTTTATACCCGATTCATAACACCCCAGAATCACGGTAAGATTAAATTGATTACCATCTAAGGTTATTGTTGTGACATACTAGCTATATATTCTGAAAATTATTTGTCATCGGCGTCGAATTAACGTAATTTTGTCGATTCGAATATTTCAAAAACGCTTGGTAGCGGTTATTGTTGACGCTGATCATTTGTTTAGCTCCATTTTCATTTAAAACAAGTCATAACTTGCTCCCCAACAAGGGACTTGGCGTTGGTCTAACGCTTTGTAGATTAATGAAAGGATTGAACCGATTTTATGGAACAATCTACGTTTTTTATATTTTAGTCATAATTTTCATTGTTTTATCCTTTTTTCTCAGTTAATGCGCCGCTTGTCGCTTTATATTTGAAAAAAAAAGCGAAATTATTCTTAGCATGTTTTGTTATCAACATTAATTCATCTTATATTATAGTTGATGTATAATATATATATCTCAAATGTTTATTATACATACTTTTTAAAGTCATAAATAATTTTCCCTTTATAAATTGTACATTTTACAACCAACAGATTTAAGTTAGTTTAATTCTCAACCGTTTATATAAACATTTCTATCACAATTGCATTGTATGCATTATATATGCGAAATAAAATAGCAAAATTAGTTATTATTAAATAATATTACTTATGTTGTATAAATCTGCTAAATATGGTGTTATCTTAAACAATAAGTGTTTAGGTTGTTAAATATTATTATTTCATACTTGTAATAGTGATAGTTGATAAATGTAATTGTATTATACTTATACTAATTAGACAATCTTCTATATTCATCTATATTCTGCTCCATACAGACAAAGAAATTTGTAGGAGTATGCATTTATATATTATATAGAGATTGTCAAAAAAAAATTGATTACCAATTTATTATACCAAAAAATTAGATTATATGCTTTTGAGATATTTCAAGTTTAATTAAGTTTCCTTTTTCAATATTTCCATCTAATTTTATGTTTTTAAATTATGTCTCATCACTAGGCTCCTTCATTCGTCTCCCAGAAAAAGCCCAGCCATGGAGGTTGGGGCACGTGCCTTGGATGTGTTGCCCCTCCTACAAGAGCGGGTGGCAGCTCTCACTGGGGGCCGAGATCGACGTGGAGGACCCATAGTCTGGTTTCCAGCAAACTCAAGACGGGATCGAGTAGCACCAGATGACTATCGTCGCCTGTTGCATTACTTAATCAGCATTCCTAAGTACTTTATTAATTGAAGCACTCTATCAAATATAAATAAACTTTGTTTACAACACTCTCATATCGAAAATAATAAATTTGGTATAGATGTTAGATAAATATATATATATATACTGTTTCAGTGGATCTGTGAGGACTCATGGCTTTACCATATTAATCGACATGAGAGGTTCCGCATGGGCTGCAATAAAACCAATATTAAAAGTATTACAAGAACATTTCTCTTCATCCGTCCATCAGGCTCTCGTGGTAAAACCTGATAACTTTTGGCAGAAACAACGCACAACAATTGGATCTCACAAGTATAAGTTTGAGGTGAATAATTCAAGTGCTTCAGTTCTTCTTATCATAAGTAATATGTTTGACCTATTTAGCGTTTCAGTCCCTCTTTGCACAAAGTGTGTTATCTATGCATGACGGTAACAAAATAAAACATTGTAGAATCTAGATTAAAGTTAGATAGGTTTAGTGTTTGGTCAACACATATGTGTATTTATTGTATAACATATAATTATTTCCAGACAACAATGATTAGCCTAGAAGCACTACCTAAAGTGATAGATAGTTCTCAATTGACACCAGATTTAGATGGTACACTTCAGTATGATCATGCACAATGGATAGATCTTAGACTGGTAAGTAGCCATAATTTAAATATATGTATAAGTATAAAAGAGTGTTATCCTTACTTAAGGTTATAAATGCGCATGTAACTCTGTCTGTCTGTTACTCTTTCACACCTAAACTACTGAACGGAATGAAATTTGTTACACAGATAGTCTAGACCCTGAGAAAGGACATAAGCTATTTAAGCTTATTATTGCGAAAAGGGAGTTTTAAGGGGTTAAAAGGGGGGCAGGGGTGAACGTTTGTATGGAAATTCGTGGTTTTTGAAGCTAGAACAATGAAACTTTCTTTGGCTCTTTGGGAATAGGAGTGGGAGTAAGAGTAGTAGTTATGTGACGTGAGAGTGTTGCGGCAAAGTAGCACTTACAACATAGATTGGCTGCGATAAATGCGCAATTACATAAATTAATAAACAGCCTAAATAATTAAAAATTCTACCCCGAGTCACTAATCCCCGCGAACGAAGTCGTGGGCACAGCTAGCTTAGTTTAGTTAATTTATAAGTCTAGAACGACTGAACTGATTTGGCTAAAAATTTGAACTAAGATCCGCGACATAGTATTGGTATTTTTTATTACATTCGACCACGCTGAGTACTATGCAACAAAATACAAGAAGGATAAAGGATCATAAAAAAATTGTTTGTGTATTGTTGACAAATAAAACGTCAATAAAATCCAAAATCCGCTTATCAATTGCCTATTTTTAAACATTATATCATATATCTTGGATGTAAATAAAACATTTGTAACGGTTTAAAATGCAAAATATATTCATCTTTTTTTTAAACATGTACTACTCGCGTAAACTACAGGCAGTACTTAAAATATTTTGGAATTGAACCACAGGCCCTAGAAGACCTAATGTGGCAAGCTGGAGAATTACTGGACCGTTTAGATGATCTGCAAGAAGACGTAGCGCGCGCTGACTTCGCCGATGACGTCACTGGTGCTCGGCGCGCTATAGACGCACATGCTGATATAAGCAAACGCCTCGCAAAAGTGCCCGTCGACGAACTTGAAGCCCAAGGTAATTAATACTCTATATAAATATTAAAATGTATGTTGTAATGTTATATTCTTTGTTAACGATCTCATTACGCTTATCCGGTGTACTTGGAAGGGGTAAAGTACCAAGTCGATTACTTCTAAAAATGATTTTTTGTTTTTAGCGATTTTTTTGCCAATCCAATAGTCGTTCGGTTAATAAACGGTTTTCTGTAAGTACGTAAGAGAAAAAGTCGTCAATTAGAGATTTTAAATTTCTGCAAAGCATTATCCACGAGTAATATCGTATTAACTGTACGCAGTTAGAGTGTATACAAAAAACGAAAAATAAACAATGTTCATACGGTGAGGTGAATGGCTGTATGATTCATTAAGGAAATTAAGTGCTGGAATGCGGTCAGCGAAAAGTTTTTTCATCCTTTATTTTATTAACTGACTCAAGGTCCACTACAGATCAAGGGGTTAAGGATTTAAATCCCGGATTAAAATAATATTTCGCTAATTGAAATTCTATAAGGGATATAATTTAGTATCGTGGAGTTTTCAAATAGGTGACACTGTGCATCGCTTAAATGGTTTTCCCAGTCGTTAAAACCCACCAGATTATACTGGAGCAGCGTGGTGGATACGCAATAAATACACTTTCTCCATTTAGCAGTAAACTGTGTTGTGTGACGTTCGTAATTTGACACGACCTACAATTACAAACTACGCAACTTTTTATACTCCACACTAAATATCATATAACGTACAATAAAAGGAAACACGATAATTAATCCTGGTTGAATAACGACAAAGTATTTGCTGAGTTTTGACTGATAGACATTCATTAGTTATCTACAATAAAAACGTAATGCAGTATAAAAATAATTCGAAACGATTGTAGTCCTTGTGCGGTTGCATTATATGCGAGACTTGCAGAAATATTTTTAACATGCGGCCGCATTATTTACCAAGTTTCAGTATATTGCACACAAGTGTTTCATAACACGCTAAGCAATGTCGGTTTAACATGTGCTTTGATTGCTTACGATCCAACGCGGAGCATGGTACGACTGTTTTTGTGTTTTTATCGTCTAGTGTCAGTGGCACTTCAAAAAAAATTTCTTTTTACCTTCAAATGCAATAGCAATTATTAACTTGGGTGCGTTTCACAATTATTAATTAGTTACAATTTATTTAACGGAAACAGCGCGTCAGCTTTCGAATAGTTTCATTAGCTGAATATTGTTATTAATTTCCTGAAATAAATTTAGTGGTTTGTGCACACGACCTCGTGGGATCGAGACTACAGTATTTGGTTTCGTACAAAAAAATTACAGATGTATGTAAAACGTTATCTGTCAAATTGTAGAATCCCTTTCGTATAAACCTGGGAACACCCAGGGCTCCCTTGAAGCACCGTAGCGGGCTGGTGTTGTGTTTAGTGGTTCTGGTCGGCTATTGTCTTCGAAGAGGTTGTAGTACGATTTACCACACTCCCCACGTCACTATTGCCCGACGTGGGCGTGCATTAGGCATTCACGCCATCAGTTAAAGAAAGGCTTATATCCTTTTGGGTTTTACTCCTTACTTTACTTACTTTAGGTGTTGCAAGTAGGGATGTTGATGGTGACGAAATTAAATATGCTAGGTTAGCTACGTTCCTGTACATTTGTTTGTGGTGTCTGTTATGACTGAAGATTTTTTTTCAGGTGAGCGCGTCCTTCAGCGTCTGGAAGCGGCGGAGGCTGCTTGCTCAGAGGCAAGTGGCAGCGGTGGTGAATCCGCCTTCCACTGTGGCTCACCCAGCGCGGTACGCTCGCAACTGTCCGCTGTGCGCTCCGCTCATGCACATGCGCACAAGCTATGGCAGCATAAGAAGATGCAGCTCGATCAATGTTTTCAACTACGGCTCTTTGAACAGGATTGTGAGAAGGTAAATACAGCAAAAAAAAACTTCAGATTAAAAAAAAAATAACTATAGATGTAAATAAAACACTTTGACGTTTAAAACGCGATATATATTAGTTAAACTGTGGCTGTTAAAATGTGTAGTTAAACTGTGACATGGCTGCTGCAAAGCATCCGAAACGTAGCCGGGCCGTAATTAAAAATATTTTTTAAATGAGTTTAACGAATATATATCGCGTTTTAAACCGTTAAAGAGTTTTATTTAAATGTGTACTGCTCGAGTAAACTACAGACAGTAACACTGAGAGTTTTGCGAAACATAAAGCGATTTGTTATGTCTTGGTTTAACATATAAAATAAATACATAATCAAAATATAAATCCCATTAATTGTTATATATAGCACCCTACATATTTATACTCTGTGGCGCAACGTACAAACAAAGTTCTTTTTATAAATCTTAGGGTAACATAGTAGACACATTATCGGTCTCTACATTGAAATTTATCAGTACAATACTATTATACATACATATTAACATTATTTGTTCTCGTTTAGATGCTGGAGTGGATCGTTAACCACCGCACAGCGTTTCTGTCGTCATACGTGGAAATCGGACGTTCATGTACTGCAGCTAAACGCCTGCAAGAGGAACACGCTAGGTGAATTTCATATTTTTGAATTATAAATAGGAATTAAATTGGTTTGGATTAATCCAAGGACATTAGAAATTAATGTCGGAAGTAGTTTTTAGTGAAATCACAAGCATGTAGCAATTAAGTTACGTACGTTGTTTCCTGTAATTGTTAAAAACAACCGGTTGCTATTGTTATTAAAAAATATTTTAGTTACTCATAGGGTAAAATTTTGACGCTACAACAAACAAATACTAAAACATATATAATTGTCTTTACGCTCATTGCGATACCACACCGACATTTTTTTTATTTGCATTAATAAATTAACTTTCAGTCTACTATCTAATAATTGAGACCTTTCTCAGATTATATGGCTGAATCTCCACTTCACTTTTATACGAATCATCTATGTCACTGATGAGTGTGTTTTATATTACTTACTAGCTGTGCCCACGACGTCCCGTTTTAGGCGTCATGTTATTTATTTTTCCCAACAAGCTTGATAAATTATTGCTGGTATTAAAGACGTCGGCCGCGTTCCGCCGTCCTTGCGAGTTAATCTTAAAAGATAGACATATACTTTCAGAGATTTTTTTATTTTAATCATTTAAAGAGGAATCATTACTAATTCATACTTATCAGTTAAATTATTTTTTTATATATTTTTCTAGGTTTGCAGCAGCTTGCACCGGCGGTGGTCGGCCAAGTGTCGCTCGTGTAACAGCTGCTGCAAGAAGACTCGCTGACAAACGGCATTATGCCGAAGCACAAATCACTGCGCTTGCGCATCGCCTTGAACGAGCTTACAAACAACTATCTGCGGGTATGTAATCTCTCGTGCAATATTATATAGACTGATATAATAATATTGGTGTAATTGTAGAAATGGTTTACATTTTTGTTTTTTTTTAATCTCAATTAGATAGGTCTTGCAGAACGTCCGTACTTTTCCCTTTAAATAGTGTTGCAGCATAAAGCAATCCGAATATCCAATTCATAAGTCGACAGCGCATCTTGTGTAGATGTATACCTGAGGTATTTCACCTCCCATGAAGTTGACCCCAAGCTTATGTGTACTCGTCTATCATTAAAATACACGCTGTTATAGCTATTATGGTGTGCTCGCAGCAAATGTTTACTAATTTTTTCTATCGTTCTTTAAATCTCATTTTTGTTTGCTAGGTCTGGAAGAACGTTCAGCAGTGCTATCTCTATCGGTGGTGTTCCACCACAAAGCTGAGGCATACGCCTCCGCTGTGGGCGGGTGGGGCGCACAATGTGCTGTCGCGTTACAATTGGCCACCGGTCAGGGCGGAGCACCCTGTAACGATCCGAGGGCGCTGGAACAACACGCGCAGAGGCACCGCCAGTTGTATGAACACATGTGTCAAGCGTACACTGAAGTATGTTTATATAGAGCCATAAAATATCTTCTATTATTATTTCCCAATTCATGTTTTTACAGTATTACATAAATATCTTCGGTACCTTTAGTACCTGGAAATTGGGGCAACAGGATTTAATTTCTATGTAGTAGTTAATAATTTCTATATTTATACATTCTACAAATAGAGATCTTAATTTTTCTAATTCTTTTAGGTACATTCCACTAGCAAGAAGTTGCTATACCAACTTGATCATTTAGTTCAAGTTTGTCATCAGACAGACCCAGCTGATTTGGTAAGTATTATTATTATTATTATGAGTGCATAATAGTAAAGAGAATTTAAACATCGAAAATAGATTGAAAAAATATTAAAATATTTAGCGCCTTCATGTGCAGTAACATGTAAAAAATAATAAAGTTTTCAAAAGTAAAGAGAATTACAGACACTATTTGCAATAAAATTATCACATACATTAAAAAAACTGCTATTGACACATTTGTGTATTTTAGAAGCGAGAAATATTTTAGCTGAGTTAACATTTTGCTTCGAATTTAATTTTACGGTATATATTAATCGAAGTTATGTATTACGTGATAAAATCAACATGACACTTATACCTTAGATGAAAGAGCCGTGAAGCTTAATCGCGTTTCGGTTTCTGTATTTCCGAATATTCATAATAATAATAGGTCGATAGCGCATACAGTTTCAATAATATATAGCTGGCTTATTTCACCTTCCATCAAGTGAACGTTGATGCTTGTCTGTCCTCCAAGTTAATGTGTGATCTTTAATGATATTTCTCTCCACTTGTTTAGCAAAAAGACGGCACAGTAAGTTCAGCTGGTAGCAGTGGAGGTGATCCAGCCGCTGACTATAGTTCGGGGGCTAACCATGTGTTGGCAGTGATACATCAGATCTTGGGTCACCATAGGGCTCTAGAAGCCAGATACCATCAAGCGAGACTTAAGTTACATCAAAGACTCGCTTTGCTGCTGTATAAGGAAGACTGCAGACAGGTATAGAAGTTAAATAAAACCCTTTCAGACGGATTAAAACACGAACTGTATAATATTTGGAATTTTTCTGATATTGTTTGGTAGGGTTTCTATAAGTTAAATTCTAAATAACAAGGTGTAACCTAAGTATAACAAGGTAACAATATTTAAGTTGGCTGTTGAATATTACATGTAGTGTACAGATTGTGGGACACAATTCTGTGTCCGTTTCATCCTCCTTTTATAGGAGAGAGTTTTGACAGCTTACAACCGCCTCGATAATATAAAGCTGAGAGTATACCAGCGTATATACATAATTCTCATTCAGTAAATATTGTAATTTATTTATCATTTTTTCTATGATTGAATATTGATTTGTTTAAGGTCCTCGATTGGTTGACGAACCACGGCGAAGTATTTCTACAGAAGAATACTGGTATCGGAAGAAATCTTCACAAAGCAAGAGTGTACCAGAAATCACATGAACACTTTGAGAATGTTGCACAGGTAAATGGTAGAAAAATATATTAATACATTTATAGACAAAAAGTAATATAATAAGTAGATTTTTTTTTCTTGCAATAAATTGTTACTACATACTAACATTTTGCTTATTACCCTACGAGTAGTATTGTGGTTATAAGCGTATAAATATAATTCTTTCAACGGTTTAAAACGCGAAATACATCAGTTAACTTTTTACAATTTATTTTAACTACGCCTGACGTCATGGATGCTTTTCAGCAATCGTCCCTCCGTGACCACGGCTAACTAATATATTTTGCGTTATAAACCGTTGAAAGAGTTTTATTTAAATGGTCTCTACTCTAGTAAAATACAGACAATAATTATAAGCGTTCACATATAACAATATATATAATTTAAACTATTAACTTTTTCTTAGAATACATACACGAACGCAGAAAAGCTCCTATCAGCAGCCGAAGAATTAGCCAGATCTGGTGAATGTGATCCTGAAGAAGTGTTGGGCGTTGCGCGTGAATTGGAAGCACATGTGGCAGCTTTTGCAGCAAGGGTTGACAGGCGAAGAAGACGGCTAGATCTTGCTGTTCTACTTTATACGCATGAGAAAGAGGTATGTATTTTAATGTAACTGAATCAGTTATAGACAGACGGACTGCCTTTGTAGCTAAATGTTGAACGTGTTACCGCGAGTAAACGCGCTTAACGCCCAGCATTGCGTTAAGCGCCCTCGCGCTCCTGGATTCAAATCTCTGTTGTGACATTTTTTTATATTATTTAAAGAATCATTCTTTGAAATATATATTTTTGGGTATCTTGAACCTTTTAAGCAGCGTACGCAACAGGAACCCACAAAATGATAAATTTTACCTGATTTCTCCACATTTCCCGATGTTTCTTCGCTCCTATAGCCTATTACCTTTCTCGATAAATGTTCTAACCGACACGAATAGATTGTTCCAATTCTGAAATAAGCGCGTTCAAACAAACAAACTCTTCAACTTTGTATATTAGTATAGATAGATTAGGTTAAATATGCAATGCATTTCACATCCCCTTGTTTTGACAATATCGTGTTTTCGTAGCTTCTGCAATGGCTAGAGACGCTGCGGAGTGGCGGTGGAGTATGTCCAGCAGATGATAGTCCAGAAGCAGCACGCCGAGCCCTGGAGCAATGTGCTCAACATCGTGCCGCCAGTTTAGACGCGTGCGCAGCTACTATTGCACAGGGAGAAGCGTTATTGCAAGATTTGAGGTCAGTACAGATTAGAGTAATTCAACGAGTTGAAACACGATTTATTCGTTAAATATTTACATCTATATACAATACACAATACAATGTTGACGGGGTCATTGGTGGGATAATAGAAATGTATGACTAATATCGGGTTATAGGATTAATGCGTTATAGGGTCCAATTTATAGTTTTATTGAAACATGTTGGACTTCTTCTGGATATTAAATGTGGGTGGTAGGAAAGACGAAATTCTGCTCGCTCATGAACCACTGTCTACAGATGAAAAAGTCGCCGAGATTGTGCTGTCGGTTTCAGTCTGCGAATTTCTACAAAGCCAAAATAGGTCGATGGAACGTCTTGATGAGATGTTATATTATTGGGAAATTTCACCTACCGTCAAGCGAACCCAATGCTTGTCCGTCCACCTCTACCATCATTAACTAAAACAGTACTAGTAAAAACTAAGAACAGTACTAGTCATAAATACTGTCAATAGTTTACGCAAGTAGTAAACATTTAAATAAAACACTTTAACGGTTTAAAACGCGATATATATTACGCACGTCGTCGTATTAACGTCGGGCCGAATTTAAAAATAATTTCCAAATAAGTCTAACAAATATATATCGCGTTTTAAACCGTTTAAATCTTATATTTAAATGAGTACTAGTCGTTATATTATAAGGGATAATACCTAGTATATATGTTGAGTCTCCTGTCAACTGCCGAATAGAAATCGCGATTCAACTGGTTTAAATAAGTTTTATTCAATCGCATACACAACAAATACAAGTGACATCCCTTTTTACTAGACATTTTACTTTATTGGAAGCCGATATTCAATTAAATCAAGATAATAACTCCCCAAGGGATGAAAAGGGGATTTCAGGAGATCGACAATTAACGCGATGCTGAATAAGAGGATTACAGATCAATTTTCTCATTTTGTTGTAAAGTCTGGGTGTATCAAGTTAAAAATTAAAATGTCTACTAATATTACAAAGCTCAAGAGTATGGTGGTTTGTTTGAACGCGTAAATCTCAGGAACGACTGCTTCGAATTGAATTTTTTTTGTTGGATAGACCATTAATCGAAAAAGAGCGAGAAAACACTGGAAGTTGTGGAAAAAATGGGGAAAATTATTCATCTTTGAGGGTACAGCAGTATATAGCTGCATCTTTTAAGATAAACCCGTAAGAACTACAGGACGTGGATCGTGGGTAGCTATAAATTTGTAAAGCCGCGGAGATTGTAAACGGGCTCAGCTATTGAATCGTAATTCTGTTAAAAGCATGTTTATATATAAAACATTAAACAAACATATAATGCTTTAAGAATGTACAAATAGAGGCATCAACTCTTTTGTTAATGTTACATAAACGCATCCAAAATTACATTTAATGTCTAAAGGAAGTATTTCAACTTAGCTTTCTTTTATTGGCATGGATAGAAAGAAAACCAACGCTATTTATTTATTTTTTGTTATTCGCTTGAATTGTTTTAATATTTGAAAAGCGAAGGCCTATAGATTATTTAATCACAGTGTCGTGGTAAAATGTTGGTCGTGAGTTCGACTCCCGTAAATTTAATAAAGGTGGTTGTATGGTAATTGTACGTAAATAGATTATAATTCTTATACAGCAATAATACCCCGAATATACGCGAAGAGTGCCGAAATTTATTGTTACCCCGAGATTCAAACACTGTACCTCTCGAGCTTAACACCATGCTAGGCAGCACGTTTAACCATTTAGCTAGAAGCGGGCAATAACACATAAAACATTAAATTATGTTTACTTGGGTAAATGACTTTCGGAAATAAATGTACAAATATTTTTCTTTTAATATAACAATTTAAACTACATAATATGTACTGTAAGCTACAGCTTGCGTTATTATTATTACAGCTTATTAACTTATTTACAAATTATTTTAATTGCCGCCCGACGTTTCGGATGCTTTGCAGCAGACGTGGTAATGTGGAGACCACGGCTGAGTTTAATAAATACATTTCAATAAAATTTTATTTCAATTTAAAAACGTTAACTCCGACTTCGCAAAAGTCAAGTGTTACTGTAATATTAACTTAACTCCTAACCGTTTATTAAAACTATAAAACATACCCAAAAAATCCATAAGCCATTTTGTATCAATAGATCTTAAGTTAAACCACTTTTATATTACAAAAAAAAAATATTTTAAAAATGTAAGTACAGTAGGGCCTCGGTAATCCAGACCCTCGCTTGTTCGGTGATCCCAGTAATTTGGCCAAGCAATAGCAGCGGGGGAGGCTGGCCGGTGTGTAGGTGCGGGCTGTCATGCCTAATCCAATGCGCCGGCCGCCAGTGTTTTGCTTATCGCTTTTGGTGTTATGCGTACAGTGTCATTTAGCGCTCTCGCTAACATCATGATGCCGCCACGTCAAGAAAGACAAAATGTTTAACTTGGTTGTAATTTTAAACATTTTGTCTTTACAATATACCTATATAGAATACTATATACCTATAAAAAAACGAATGTTAAATATGTGTTTTATCAACCTTAAATAGGTATGACATACTATAATCCGGACGCCTCGATTATCCGAAAAGGGTTTTTTGCGTCTCCGGATTAACGAGGCCCCACTGTATTTATCTTGCGTAAGTAGAGTATATATTTACAAAGTGTCTATACGTTACTTTTTTTATATAAAAACGTAAACAATAGATGCTCTGTTAATTACCCACGGGACGTTACACAACGGTATGCGACCCAATTTCTACGTCTACATAGCAGATGACAACTCGGTTTTCACTGAAAATACACGCGATCTCGATACGTTATTTACGCATTCAATGGAAATCGCTCTAGCTCATTGTCTATTTCTTATCCGACTGAAAAAGTAGACGTTTTCTTAGATACGACGTGCCTTCTTTAACCACCGAATCATAAATCATTAATTTTTAAGTAGACATATATTTAAATAAAAACTAACTTTAAAAGCGATATATATTGGTGAAACTTATTTGATTTTTTTATTATTTTAATACTCGCATAATTACAGACAGTATTTAGACATGTCGATTTCATTCTTATATTATTAAGAATTTGTCTAAAAGATTAATCTCAAACTACTAGGTAAGTTAGAATTAAAATTACTTCTATTTAGATGGATCCAAAAAGCCTTTTACTCTATAAATCATCACACTGCGACTAATAAGAGCGAAAAAAACATTGGAAAATGTGACAACACACACACACACACACACAGAGAGAAAATGATTAACTTTTAAGGGGTTCCGTTCATACACTCGAAAACTTTAAGGAACCAAAACATGTTTAAAAGAATGATTCCCTCTAAACATCTAAAAAGAATATCCCTAACAGTAACGTACTTATTTGTCACAATAACAGACATAAAATTATTATTTACCTTATAAAAACAAGAAATTGTATATATTTTGCAGTTAAAACCGCTTCATACTAATATATTTCTATGTATTATTTCTTGTAGATAATAACGTATTTTTTGTTTATTTGTGTATTCATATAAATACTTATTACAAATAAATAAATAATCATTTTAATTGGGATCGGAAAATCATGTTTATGTAATCACATAAACATAATTTTACGATCCCAATTAATGAGGTATCTAACTCCATCCAGCATAAATGCTATCCATAAAAGGCAATGTACTTGCCGCGTTCCGGTGCCTGCATAGGGCTTACTCAACGTATGAAAAACTTGGCTTTTCATTTGAAGCCTTCGTCACTTGGACTTGCGACAACTACTTATTTTTCCGGTAATTTGCCTCGGATTTCACTTCCAGTTTACGCAGCGTATACGCTCATATCGTAGATTGTGGCAAATAGGGTTTTAAAATAGAGGAAAATGTTGAAAATTGGCTTTGTCTTTGCAAAGATATATCGTTAAGGTTTTCGTGGATTTATTTAGTAAAGTTTTTATATTAAAACGCTTACAGATTTTAAATTTGCTTAATAAGTAATAACTTTTAACGGTTTAGAACGCGAAATATATTAGTTTCTTTAGTTAAAATTTATTTTACTACAGTCCTACGTTTCGGATGCGTTACCGTAGTCACAGGGGAGATTAGAACGTACTCTTACTTCCCTTTAGTTTGTATAAATCTTTATAGAACGTCAAGGTTTTTTTTTAAATTGACAAGGATACAATGGACTACATAAAACTAAATAAGTAATATAATTTCACTTCCTTAATTAATTTCATTTTCCTTCATGTAAGGCATAGGATACTAAGTACAAGTGTGAATCAGTCCTGCGGGACTTGTTTACCGTAACAGGAAAAGTGGTCTTGGACTTCATTGGCGCCAGACTCCTACCGTGACTGAGAGCATCTTGCCCTTTAAGTAAAGCACGATTTGATTAAGCTTATATTTAGACTAGCAAGTCGATATAACCTGTTATGGCATGTTTTGTCATTACTTTTTACTATGGTTAGTTATTGACTTCTATACTTGTATAAAAACCTAATTGTACAGACCAGCATACGAGATGTTTGTTGTACTTCAAAGAGCTTATTTGATCTTATTGTCTATTTTTTTATGGTAGGTTTATTTATTTATTAGCTGTGTCAGCGACTTTGTTCGCGTAGAATAGTTATTTTAGGCATCTAAATAAGTTTATGCAAACTTTTGAGATTAGCGTGTTCAAACAAACAAACAATCTCTTCAGTGTTATATATTAATATAGATGTATGATGGCACAATATGCTTAAATTCAAAGTCCATTATAAAATTAACGTCTCAAGCAGGTTTTTTTTACTCTGATGACGCCGGTTCAAGACCGTATTTTTTTTTTCATTTATAATCGATTTTTAATTTATATAAATAGCCTTTTTGTAAAACAAAAATAAAATATGTCAAAAGTTGTACACGTGTGTTTGTTTTTTAGTGTGTGTGGTGTAATTACGAATGTAAAATTCTAAATAGATGACTTTCCTCTAACTATTTTGGAAACGTGACACGCATAACTGACGTAATTATTGAACAATGTACC